TTTTTTGTTGAACAATAAAGCTGAAACTTTTGTCACTTTGAAGCACTTTCTTGCCTTAGTGAAGAATAGGTTTAATTCCAATGTTCAAACATTAAGAACAGACAATGGCTGTGAGTTTTTTAATTCTCAGTTTGATGAGTTACTCAAGGAATATGGCATTGTGCATCAAAGTTCTTGTGTTTATACACCTCAGCAAAATGGTGTAGTAGAGAGGAAACACAGATCTATTCTAAATGTAGCCAGATCCTTAAGATTTCAAGGTGCTGTGCCTCTGAAGTTCTGGGGAGAGTGTGTTGATACTGCAGTCTATCTGCTTAACAGGCTACCTTCTACCACCCTACATCATAAATCTCCTTTTCAAATGCTGCACTCACACCCTCCTAACCTTGATCATCTAAAAACCTTTGGTTGCCTTGCCTATGCATCAAATCCTAACATCACTGATAAAATGTCACCTAGAGCTATCTCTGCTGCTTTAATGGGGTATTCTTCTACTCAAAAAGGATACAAACTTTATGATCTACATGATAGATCATTCTTTGTAAGTAGAAATGTGGTGTTCTGAGAAGATTTATTTCCCTTTAAACACTTTACTCCTTCTACTCTTCCCTTATTTCCTGTGCTCGAGCCCATTCCTGACACTCACACTCCAATTATCAGTCCCAATACCTCTCCCAATAGCACAACAACTTCCCAAATCATACAAGAAGAACTGCTTCCAGACACTCCTTTGCCTGCACCACCTTTCATCAACACATCACCTTCACCTAGTAATTTCATTTCAGAAGAACTTCCCACCAATTTACCTCCTTCTACTGAATCTTCCTCTCAGCTTGAACCACTCAGAAAATCCACTAGACATTTAAAGCAACCTCTGTGGTTGCAAGACTTTATCACCACAAAAAAATCCAACTGTGCCTATCCTCTTTCTTCCTATATCAGTTATAATCATCTAGCCTTACCATATAAGACTGCCTTAAACTCCTATTCATCCATTGTAGAGCCTACTAGTTACAGGGAAGCAACTGCAGATCCAAAGTGGATTGAAGCCATGAAACTAGAGATTGCAGCACTAGAAGACAACAACACCTGGACTATTGTTGATCTTCCTAAAGGTAAAGTAGCTATTGGGTGCAAATGGGTATTCAAAGTCAAGTATAAGTCATCAGGAGAAGCGGAGAGGTACAAGGCACGACTAGTAGCCAAGGGTTACAGTCAACAAGCTGGGTTGGACTACAAAGGAACTTTCTCACCAGTTGCCAAAATGGTTACTGTTAGATCAGTGATAGCTGTGGCAGCCTGAAGGCATTGGTTCATCTATCAAATGGATTTACACAATGCTTTCTTGCAAGGAGATCTTTTGGAGGAGGTTTATATGACTATTCCAGAAGGGTTTGCTAGACAGGGGGAGTCTAATCAAGTCTGCAAACTCCAGAAATCATTGTATGGCCTGAAACAAGCACCAAGACAGTGGAATCTAAAGCTTACTGAAGCTCTGCAGCAACTTGGCTTTGTCCAGAGTCATTTTGACTGTTCCTTTTTCACACAGCATCAAGGAAGTGACATAGTTGTGATCCTTATATATGTAGATGACCTGATCATCACAGGAAATAACAATGAGCTCTTGAATAAAACCAGGGGTGATCTTCAGAAAAAATTCAAAATGAAAGACCTAGGTGAATTGAAGTTCTTCTTAGGCATTGAATTTGCAAGATCAAGCAAGGGTATACATATGTGTCAAAGAAAGTATTCCTTGGAGCTAATTTCTGAGCTTGGCCTAGGGGGAGCTAAAACAGCTGGAACTCCACTTGAATGTAATCAGAAACTTACTTCAATAGAGTTTGATAATGCATTCAACAAAGATGCAGCTCATGAAGATCCAATACTAGAAGATGCTGGAAAGTATCAAAGATTGGTAGGGAGACTTCTATATCTGACCATGACAAGACCAGATATCTCATTTGGAGTACAAGTGCTAAGTCAGTATATGCATGCTCCAAAACAATCCCACATGGAGGCTGCCCTAAGGATTGTCAAGTATCTGAAAGCTTCACCAGGCCTGGGACTTTTAATGCCATCAACTGGAACTAGACAGCTACAAGCCTTCTGTGACTCTGATTGGGGCTCATGCTACAGACCAGAAGATCTGTTACTGGCTACCTAGTGAAATTTGGAGAGGCTTTGGTGTCTTGGTAATCCAAGAAGCAGGAAACTGTAGCCAGAAGTTCAGCTGAAGCTGAATTCAGAAGCATGGCATCATGTGTAGCTGAAGTTACTTGGCTAATAGGGTTGTTTAAGGAACTAGGAGTTGAAGTGCAACAACCTGTTGATCTGTTCTGTGATAGCAAAGCTGCCATTCAAATAGCAGCAGATCCAATATTCCATGAAAGAACCAAGCATATAGACATAGATTGTCATTTGTAAGGGAAAAACTAAGTCAAGGAGTATTCAAAACTCATCATCTCTCAACAATGGATCAGCTGGCTGATCTACTGACTAAAAGCCTTGGAAAGACACAACATGAAGCTCTGTTGAATCAACTCGGAGTCAAGAATATATTCACAGCATCAGCTTAAGGGGGAGTGTTGAAAGCATAAGCTGATTGTAGCCGTATATGTGATAAGTGGCTAGTTAGTTAATGAAGTGGCTATGGCTATTTATGTAAAGCTAGTTAGTTAGAAGTGTTAGTTAGAAATACTGTATATATGCTTCACTCTGTATAGTGTTTGTATGACTGAAGAAATGAGAAGCGGTTAGATAAATTTGACACAAAGGACACTGACTAATATATGATCTATTTAAAATTTTATTAAAACTGAATAAACAATTATTTCATAATAAATACTATATCTAAACCAAACCCATGGTTAATAGTATATATCCCGACATACCATTGTTTAGGTTTAGGACTCCATATTGGCCGAGCTTGGGCATAAACTCCCTCACCTAGTAGTATTTATCCAAGTCGAGTCCTAAAACTACTAGAAGAACATGTACTATATAATGTACTACCTAATAAATGTAACTGTATAAAGTAAAGCGTGTTCTGTTCGGTCGGTTCAGAACAGAAGCTACCATTAAAGTTTTCTGTTCCTAAGGAGATGAAGAAGATTTGTACCGCCGGAAAAAAAATCTGAAGATTTACCTAAAGATATAATTTATGATATATTCTCTAGATTTCCCACCATATCTTTGATGCGATCCAGGTGCGTTTCAAGATTTCATAACTATCTTTTCGGATTAGGTCGAGATCCCTATTTTGTGGATCTCCATCATCAAAGGGGCTGCTCCATATCCAATTCTCTGTCCAACAACAAATTCTTGGTACGCACAATACGCAGCACAATGCAGCCGCGTAAAGAAAAGTTTTATTACTACAGTTGTGAACACGACGGCCAGAGCCACAAGTTGGGTAAAGAGACCGAATGCACCTCCATTCTCCGTAACCTGGGCGGTGTTAGCTATCACAAAATTGAGTTCGCCAAAGGTTTGTTTTGTTTATGGAGTGAAAAATTCGAGCCTGTTTTTATTTTCAATCCTACTACTAGAGAATCGAGATTTCTTCCTCGTCTAGACATTGATTTTAGTAGTACTAATTATCAGTGTCACTGTTCATTGGGTTTTGACCCAAATTTGAAAAAACACAAAGTTCTTATGACAATTTATGACCCTGAGATGAAGTTAACCATACACTGCTGGGTTTTCACTTTAGGTGAAACGACGTGGAGAGAGATCAACTGCGACAGGATAACCAATTTTTACCCAAGAACGTATTATGAAGGAGCTTACGTCGATGGAGCTGTGTATTTTTACTGTGGTCAGTACTGCAACATTTACGGACTTCACATAGTGGCCTTTAATTGTAGAATCGAAGAGGTCAGAATTATCTCATTGTGGGACAATTATCGTGATTATGGGATGAGGGTAGGACGCCGGTTTAACCTGGTAGAACTTGAGGGTAAATTAGCAGCCATTGACGTCATGTGTAATTATATGCGTGTTTGGATTCTACAAAGTCCAGAAACAGGAGAATGGATAAGGCAGCCTGAGATTGTCATTCCTCCAAATGTAACATGTGAGAATTTTGTAGTACATCGCAGATGTACTAGTACTACTGACAAGAAGGAGATCGCATTCACGAAACCATATAGTGATGCAACAGATAGGATTTTATTCTACGATTTTAAGGAAAACAAGTGGAGATCAGAGAGAATCCTGGGGCTTGCTGACAATGCTAAGATTGTTGGTATCTATAATTATGAGTATTGCATCTACTCAGTTTGATGTTTCCTTCTTCTATTTTTCGTACTATATTAATTAGGGGATCATCTATTGTGTGGAGAGCAGATTATTATGGCGCACTCGTGAAAAATTTACTAGGTTTTCTTTTTTGTTTTTAGACAAGAGACTTAATGGTGGGATTTCCATAAGAAGGCTGCATCCATGCCATAAAATTATATAGAGTAAATTTTATGGTTGGTCATTCAACTTTGTGTTCATTATGCAAAAAGTTATTTTTTTCTTTTTGTTACGTAAACATTATTCAACTTTGTGTTCATTACCCAAAAGTCACTTTTCTTTCTTTTGTTACACAAAAATTATTTTACTTTGCTCTATATATCACAAAAGTCACCTTGGTCAGGTTTTATAATACTTTTACTTGAAAAGTGTCATGACCCGGATTTTCCACCCTCGGGAGTCGTAATGGCGCCTACTAGTGAAAGCTAGGCAAGCCAACTAACCGAACTATTTGACCTGTCTTCCATGTTTATATTAATTAATGACTTAGCATCAACAGTTTATAGCAACATAATTTAAAACGCGGAAGAAATAAATTGTAAACTTAACAATACTGCTAATACCATCCCATAACAAAACCACCCAAGATTTGGTGTCACAACTTCACGGACTGTCTAAGAGTACTACAAATAAGGGTCTGAAAGAAATAATAAAATATTATCTCTAGAACTACATAAGAGAAGAAGGAAAAATAGATGGAGGGAGACGCCAAGGCCTGCAGACGCCTGCAGGACTACCTCGGGTCGCCTGGTAAGTAAGAAGCTGAAACCTCACTGCGGTCTGAAATCTGCAGCACTGGGATCTGCACAAAATAGTGCAGAGTGTAGTATCAGCACAATCGACCCCATGTGCTGGTAAGTGCCTAGCCTAACCTCGGCGAAGTAGTGACGAGGCTAGGACCAGACTATCAAATAAAACGGTACAGTTATCTAATATACAGGGGAAAATAAAACAGAAATAAACAAGAAAAGATGGGAGGGGGTACATGCTGCGGGGTATATCAGTATCAACAGTAAATCAAGAATAAAGGCATAAGGACAACTTAGGATTCACAGCGAAACAATAAGGAACTTGTATCCAATCCAAAAACACTTTGTATCAACAATTGTTGCGGCGCGCAACTCGATCCCAACATATAACAACATTATTGCGGCGTGCAACCCGATCCATATCATTTATCACTGTTGGGGCGTGCAAGCCGATCCAAATATATCATTGTTGCGGCGTGCAACCCGATCCAAATATATCATTGTTGCGGCGTGCAATCCGGTCAAAATATATCATTGTTGCAGCGTGCAACCCGATGCAAATATACAATCAACATCAACCATAACAAGAGTCCCGGCTAGGGATCAATAAGAACTACACTATCCCGGCAAGGGAGTCAACAATAAGAATGAACACATCCCGGCAAGGGAAAATCAGCTATAACCAAACTTGTTCCAACATCTACTACCTCAACTAACACAAATGCTCAACCATGAGTAATCTCTACGAGAATAATTATAAACCTTGCTCAACACAGGGAGTCAACAACTTAGGCATTCGTAGTAGTTCTCAGTAACACAGTAATTTCAATTTAAGACTCACAATCATGCTCGACACCGACGTATAGATACTCGTCACCATGCCTATACGTCGTACTCAACAAGAAACAAGTAGCAAATAGGACACAACTCCTAATCCCTCAAGCTAAGGTTAGACAAAACACTTACCTCAATGCCACGAACTCGGTTCAAGCCTCAACTATAGCATTACCTCGTGATTCCACCACCAATTCGCTCGTATCTAGTCACAAGTTACTTAATTACATCAATGAATGCTAAATAAACAATTTCTATGCATGGAAATAAGTTTTCTAAAGTCTTTTCCAAAAAGTCAAAAATCAGCC